CCTTAAAAGTTCTAACCTGAAGTTCTCCTGCGGAATTACGGAATGTAATCCGTAAATAGATTTTTCCGCATACATTTATCTTTCTTCGTCCTCCATCCATCCTCTCCCCATCCTCTTCATCATCCTCATTCTCTTCCCTAGCCTCGTATCCAGGATTCTGTTATATATAAATATTTTTGTATAGATTTTACAATGACAAGAAGTGATCGAAGAGGGGAATAGGATTTGTTTACATTTCATTACACTTTGGTTCATATCAAGTACCGGTCTGACTTTTTAGCAACTATATATACAAGCTGACAGTACACATACAGATAGTAAGGCAAAACGGGACAGTACAGCAAATAAATCATCCCCTCGTGTAGGGACATTTATGTAAATAAGACAGCTCAGTAACTAGTGTTGTAAACAAATACAAAGATTGTAAACAGGATTGAAATTCACGGGCATTGCAACTTTTCTTTAGTTATAGAAAGCTGTTTTAAAGGGACTGTGAGCGTAATTTTAAGTGATCCTTCATGCAAAGAGAGCGATTCCCGATTCACTGTTTGGCGTAGGCCAGTTAACATAGTGTTAATTTACAATTCTGATTCTTTGGGTATGAATGAGATTCTTTGCAAAAGTTACTTGCATATTCTACTGCAGGTAAACATATAGAAATGATCATAATTGAATACCTTTAAGAATAGAAAAACGTCAATATCTTCCACATTTTTGACCAGATAAAGGTTACATGGGTACCGTTGTGAATCGGGAAACCTTCTTTGCAGGTAAAAACAGCATATATAAACTCCTTGCAAGGAAGACAAGCATGGAGCATCTTACCTGGTCTTTACCATATAGAGTAGGAAGAGGAGACGACCTACTAGATGGAATCTGAAGAGGGAAGGATGGGAGTGAGACTGGTCTTGGTGCTTGACCCCGCTTCCCTAAGGATATTCCCTGCCGGGGTGATGTCGACGGCGTAGACAATGGCCGTGGAGACGACAAACGCTGGAGATGGGCCGACCCGCCTGGGTAGGCCCTTAGTGGTTGGGGAGAGAGTAGGTTTGAGGAGTAGAGATTACCCCCAGTTAGGGAGGCCAGGGAGAGGGCAGGAGAAGGTCCGTGTGAGGATTGGTAACCGAAGGATTCAAGATCGGAGGGGGTTGGATCTGTTTCGCTCCCAGCTTCAGAGTGAGACACCTGAGAAAAGTTCTTATTTTTGGCTTTTAAAAAGATTAAAAAATATTAATTCAAGAAAATTTTTTATTTAAAAAAACAGCTGCCAACAACAATTCCTCGTCTTTTAAGTGTAATGTTTTTGTGCATTCTTAATTACAATTTTAAGTTCTTACCGTTGGTAGCATGAAGGCTATAGGATGATCCCCCCGCACTATAGAGATACTCTGTTCTCGTACTAAAGTACATATTTACAGTAACAGCCTAAAATGTTAAATTTTTCGCACGCAATTTCACCTATGGAATTATTACTACGTCGTCTTCCTGAAGTAGCAGTAGCACCTCTATTACACAAAGCAAACAAACCACAGATTGCTAAAACCTGAAAAGTAGTACATTTTATTTATTAGGGTTTCTCTTTGATTTAATTATTCAAATTTTGAGACACCCTACAGTACAGTCAAAAACTACGTTAAGTTGTAGCTAAAAAAGGGCTAGACCAAAATTATGAAAGAGAAAAATACAAAAAAAGTTAAAATGGTCAAATTGGGTTCGAAAGTGACAGCATGCTGAACCGAACATTTAAATGAGTGTGACAATGCAAAAATGTTCAGCGTTTCAAAAATTAAGCCCATTTGGTTCAGCTGATTTCATGTCTTTTGAGAACATTTGGTTCAGCTGATTTCATGTCTTTTGAGAACATTTGGTTCAGCTGATTTCATGTCTTTTGAGAACAAACCATCAAAAAAAATACAGAGTTACCCACAAAGAATGAGACTTAAATGACGACCTAAAACTCTTAAATCATTACGATCAGAAGACTGATTTTTTTTCTGTCTGGCATATTGTATCTAATTCATGTATTTAACAGTAAAGGATGAAGAGAACCAAGAATGTGAGAAAAAAGAGTATATCTCTTACAGTTGTCTCTGAAGTCTCATCATTTGCGGGTAACTCTGTAGATAAAAAATAAATTCTCATTTTCCATCTGTAAATGATTTTAATATTTTTACTGCTGCTTTTTTCTGTAAGACCTTTCTTTTCGTACTTTTTAATAGCTTTTCTGTTTTTTTTGTAGGCAAATTCAAAAAATGTTTTTCCTACTGATCGGCCGTGTTCAGTTCCACAAAAATGTTGCGCTCTTTGGGAAATCTGACAAAAAAGCACACACATAAGTCATAAACCCTTAGGATAAATTTTTAATTTCAAAACAATATATTTATCTTTTTTCTTCTTTTAGTAAATCTATCTTTTTACTTACCGCGAAAAGAGTGAAACCCAAGGCACCAAATATTATAAGGCTTGCAAGCTTTATATCACTTTTTTCTAAATATCTCACATTTTGTGACATGGCACTGTAAAGGAGGAAATATTATAAATTCAAATATAAAATTAATATTGCAGTTTTGAACCTTTTACAAAAACATTTTTATTCAAAGTGTATCATATCCTTCCTTTGGTGAAAAGCAGCATACTACATCAAACTTTATTTACACATTTTACTCTGAAAATACAAAAAGCTATATAAAAGTCTAGACAAAAATCAGAATTGGAGAGATTGAAATAAATTTATTTTGTGTGTTCACAGTATTAGCGTTGTCTAGAAACTGAAGTTTTATGATTTTTAATCAAATATTTATCACATGTTTTCAACACCCTTCCCTCTTCACTAAATAGTCATACATCCCCCCTTTCATCAAGCCCCCTCCCTTTCATCAAGCATCCCCCCTCCTTTCAATTAAAGTGAAAATTTATGCAAAGTAAATAATGAGTCATTCAAAATAATTATGGGGACTGGAGACATAATTTCAATTGGCCGCGGATTTACATACAGTGACATGTATGATTCACAATAGTACACTTTAAACCTTTTCATTATATTGTCTTTTTCTAGCTGAAAATAGATTATTTTAAATTGTGGTTTCTCTATGCAATAGCACAATAGGCACTGAAGGAAAGTACCCTATTCTCATGTAGAAAACAAAGTATAATCTATGCTGTCTAGGCCTCAACTCAGGAGAAATACAAGTGTTTTTTCTTCTAATAAATAAATACATAATACAAAGTATTATACACACATTACACAACTACTGTCAGGGAATAAAAATAAATAGGTTCTTAAAATTTTAATTTAACACAACATAAATTTTATCTATATACATCAAGATACATAAATTAGAAGGAATGCGAAATAAAATCGTCTTACAAAAATGTTTTGAAAAATTAAAGAAAAACATCTATACCCTTTATCGAGGTCCAGTCAACTGCTGTTAATAAGAAAGAAAAAAATATGTTGAAATATTTGTTTTAACTCTTAATCCATGTTAATCATTTATTGCCAAAGCTGACATTTTAAAAAGCCCTTTCAAATTCGTTGTGTGAAATTAGCATGTCTAGAAAACTGGGAGAACATTTTTTTCTCTTTTTAACCGTATCGTAATAATGTACCAGGAGTGCATTCCTCCAGAGGCGTACACAGGGGAGGGGTATATGGGGGTTTTCAGGCCCAACGTGTACTAAGACCTCCCTGGAAAGAAAAAAATTTTAACACCCCAATGAAATTCCGGTGTACACCCCTGCATTCCTCTTTATATTTTTAGTTTATCAAAAATGCATTCTGTTAAACTTTCTTTATTGCTTCATAGTATTTAATTTATTCAAATAATATGAATAGTAAAATCTATACATAAAATCTACAAACATTATTTACAATTAAAACGTTTTATTTCAGGTATAAAATAGATTTAAAACAAGAATCTATACTTAATATAGAGTTTATGTCTTTATATATTTGCTATAAAAGGAAAAGTTCATATATTTGTGCAATGTAAGTTGGGGGCAACAATTGTTAAAAACGGATTTTTGTTATGTTTATCGAAATATAATGAAGAAGGGATTTTGGTGAATATGTTAATATTTACAACAATGAGAACTAAAAAACGATCTGGAATAGGAAGACGACTTTTAGACTCTTTAAATTGTCCGATTACACAGCAATTGTGCAGTGTAACCATAACATGTTTTGCAGTATCGGCAATTATATTGAAACAAACTTGCAGTCTGTAACCCAAGAGAGGTACAAAGACACCTTGGGTAGACTGGTGATTTGTTATCAATTCTGAATCTTTCAAAGATGCATTTCTCACAGTGTAAGCGTTTAAGGCGCTTCACACCCCCTTTCGTATCAACAATTCTAGTTTATAATTTTGCTCTGAATTGAAAGTCGACATTCAAAATATTGCTAAAATTTTCGCGGAATTTTTCTGTAACAAAACAACGAAACAAAATCTATATTACAAATGATACCTTTGGTAGTTTTGTTGGAAGAATAGATATCTTTACTGACACATTAGCTGATCTAGTCCTATTAATTAACATTTAACATTATAATAATTTTTGTGCCCCTAATTATTCTTTATCGCAATCATGCTTAATTAGCTTTTCCAAACAATGAACCCATTTTAGAAACAAAAGATACTTTAAAGGTTTAAAATTAAACGTGCATTTAAAGGTTATCTTGATTTTTAAAGGGACAGTGTATATAATTTAGATTGATCGTTCATTTAGAAAGTTGAATGTCTAATTCAATAACGGTACCATTTAATTTTTTTTCTTCTGCGAAATAACGAGTAATACATCGTCATTTATTCATGTAAAAAGTGTTGAATTCTGAAAATTCCGGCATTTGTCTCTGCTTTATAAATTTGTGAGATTAACTTTTAAAAGAAACCAAAAATAAAATTATCTATTCAATCGAGGATGTTTTAATAATTTGTGCTTATTCAATGGTTAGAAGGCTAACGTAGTTTATCAGGGATCCTTGAAATAACTTGTACACTGTACACTGTACACTGTATACTGTACACTGTACACTGTAAACTGTACACTGTAAACTGTACACTGTAAACTGTACACTGTACACTGTACACTGTACACTGTAAACTGTACACTGTACACTGTACACTGTACACTGTACACTGTACACTGTACACTGTACACTGTACACTGTACACTGTACAGTCACTTTAAACAAAATTCATATAAATAAAATGTTATTAGTCCTATAGTTAGTTGGCAAATCCTCTCCTTTCAGAATTTTTATCTAAAAATAAAAAATTACAATTTTGCTGATCTAAAAGAGTTTCAAATAGTGATCTAGTAACACACTAAGATTGAAATCTATGAGTATGATAAAGGATTATAGTTTAAATAGGTATCGGCACAGCAGCTTGCCAATTTTCTTAAACTTCTGAAATGGCACTTTTGCCACTGAGATGCTTTGAAAAGAAAGTAAGTTTTTGCCGTAAAACTCAAATTTTTTCATCGCTAGATCTTTGCAACTCGATGGTGTAAACATTTGTTATTTCCAACTTATTAAGATTATAATATCTAACAGAATTCATCGTTTAAATATCTGAAAGGTGTACGACATTGGGTTGCAAAGATAAAGGGATTAGAAAATCAGAGTTTGTAGAAGAAATCAGTTCATTTATTATGTCAATAAACGATTAAGCTGGTTTACAGATCGGTGTCTACAAGGTACAATTTTTCAAATTTTCTGAAAACTCCAAATTGGTTCTTCTGCCATCTGAGAGGCGTTGAAAGGAATTAGTCTTTGCCATAAAACTAAAATTTTATAATCTCTTTATTTAAAACCTGATGGCGTAAACCTTTGATATTTCAAAGTTAGATTATTAAATCTAAAACGATTAATAGTTTGAAATGTACGACATTGGGTAGGAATAAGAAAATCAGACTCATTTTTTTTTTGATTTCAATGAACTTCACAACAATTTAGTTAATTTAAAACAATTTGGGAAAATTTAGTCTCATTGATACAAAAATAGGGCTTCATAGGGACTCACCAATCACCATAGATACATCTATGGGACTAACTGTATAAACATCTTGTCTATTTCCAAAAACCAATAAATTGCTTTGACACAGATTTTAAAGTGGAATCTAGCGTTAAGCTTTAGAGACAACTCTTTGCAACATAATGGTATAAACTTTTTATATTTAAAACTGAGATTATTTAATCTATCAAAATTCATAGTTTTAAATATCAATTTTGTGTCTCTGTTGCTTTGAAATCTTAGACCTTAGATCTTAGACCTTAATATAAAAATGACTAATACAAAATCTACCCTTGAAATTTGATCTAAATATCACCTGTTCAACTAAACGAATTCTATACAGTTTAAAATAGTAGTATTGAATCTATATATCTTTATATCTAGATATTCATAATAACTTTGAATTATGTTTATATGATTAACCATTATTGCAAATTAGCATTTTTCAACTTAAAAATATTTCTGTTCAAAACATATGAAATTATGTATGCAGTTAAGAAAGGAACTGAGTCTCCTGAAACCCAGAAGTTAGATCTAATATTCTACATGTATGTAGGTTCTAAAGTCTCCTAAAACACTGAAGTTAGATCTAATATTCTACATGCATGTAGTTTCTAAAGTCTCCTAAAGCCCTGAAGTTAGATCTAATATTCTACATGTATGTAGGTTCTAAAGTCTCCGAAAGCCTTGAAGTTAGATCTAATATTCTACATATATGTAGGTTCTAAAGTCTCCTAAAGCCCTGAAGTTAGATCTAATATTCTACATGTATGTAGGTTCTAAAGTCTCCTAAAACCCTAAAGTTAGATCTAATATTCTACATGTAGGTTCTTAAGGTTCCTATTAGAAATTAAAAACATGTTTCTTCTTCACATAAAGAAGCGTTTTGATTGAAAACATATAAGATTTCAATATCTTAAGTGCAATTCCCTTTAGTTTGACACAATCATTCTCTAGATGATGTTGACTTATACAAAGACCAAAACTCATAGAGCAAGGAAAGAAAGAGTTGCAAAGCTTACCTCAGATGTACACAACCGACCACTCTGTTAATTGATTAATAGAGTGGTCGGTTGTGTACATCATCACGATATGTTTACGTCTGTACACTTGTAATTTGTATAGACTAGAGTGATATCGTATTTCTTGGGGGTGATTAAATGTTGATAATTGAATATTTGTATAGATAATTAGATAGACACTTAATATGGACTATAAACACAGAATTTGGGAGGTGCAGTAAGTCCTAGCTCGGAAATTGTAAAAATAGTGAACTTGGTAAATAAAATCTTTAATTCATACAACACCACATCAGATTTATTTCCTTGCCCCCGTGACATGAATAGACATGAATAAAATTATATTTTTGTATCTTTTTTTATGATTACTGTGTGTTTATGACAATAGTGTTACCACAATGAACGAGACAATATTTCAACCAGAAACTAAATTCAACCTTTAGATTGTTGTTTATGTTTAAGAACTGCAGGTCATCATCTTTGTTTCATCTTTTGTGGGTAACCCTGCATACACTGTCATGTTTATGATAAAGAGTTAAAGAGAAGAAACAATAAAAATGTTTGAAAAAAGAAGGCTATTAAAGTTTTAAGTTAAATTCATGCCCTAGAAACTTAATAATTTTGACAGAACTTTTACCTAATAAATTGAAAACCTATACAAATTGGAAAATTTTCAGATGTCTGCAGTCAACAACCTCGATTCTCTTTATATATAGAAAGAAAATCTAAAAATTTATCAATTTATCAATCCCAACCGACCACTCTATTAATTAATTAACTGGGAGTTCGGTTGTGTACTTCTTCGTTTCCTTTCTCTAGGCCAAAACTAAAGAAATTCAATTTAAAATCTAAAAAAGTTAAATGTTACTTTTAAATTTGTTACATTTTTGATAATAATTAAGGTAATTATGAATTAAGGTAAATTGTAAATTATTGGGGGGGGGGGGGG